CCTCAGCAAGGTGGGACAGCACTGCACACCAATTACCCTTTTTCTCTAAATCATGTAAAATTATCTCTAAGATAGTTGCCCTATGTTTGCATGTCCTCCACAAACACAACAAAATGATAATCTGGTAAAACGGAGTATGCCAGGGCTGGAAATGCGTCTCTCAGATCCAGTGAAACTACCCATGACTGCTAGGACTTGATAATTAACATAGTTAATTAACTGTAACATAGTTCTTAATTGTAGTACATCACCATTAATGCATCTGTTAAAAGTTTCAGGGCTATCAGGTTTGAAACAGATTACTTCACAGACAGAAACTTACTTAGAAGCCAGTCCTAGTATTTAGGCCAGAACTGTAATGAAAAGTAACAGGAATTGCGTGTGTATATATATACACACATATATATAACATACACATATATATATATTTATGGTTTTTCTTTTTTAAAATAGTTGGGGTTGGAAGGGACCTTTAAAGGTCATCTAGTCCAACCCTGCTGCAATAGGCAGAGACATCTTCAACTAGATCAGGTTGCTCAGAGCCCCGTTCAGCCTGACCTTAAACTGAGCCTTGAATGAGGCTCCGTCTCTGTCAGACTCTCTGATGACTTCCACTCTGTCAGAGTCTCTGTCACCATGTGTAGGAACATCCCTTAGACAGGTTGATGGGATTATGTTACAAGGCGCTGGCAGCAGGGGCTGCAGGGCAGCCTCTGTGAGAGGGCAGGGCTGCCCTGTGCTGGGTACAGCTGGTTCCAGCCAGCTCCAACAGACACACCACAGGGCACGGCTGAGCCCCTCAGGCAAGATGGTGGCGCCTCAGAGAAAACATATTTAAGCAAGGGCAAAACACGCTGGGCAGAGAGAGGAGGAGGGGAAAGATAAAAGAGTGAGAAACAGCAGAGGGAATACCAAGGTCAAAGAAGGTGTTCTTTGAGGAGGAGGTGTTCAAAGAGGAGGACGTGGTCCATGACACACAAGCAGATACTCACACCATGGCCTGTGCAGCGACCCACTGCTGAACAGGGGAAACCCGTGAGGAGGAAGGAGGAGCAGAGAGGACTGACCACAAACCTCCCATTCCACATCCCCCTGTGCTGCTAGTGGGGAGGAGTCAGGAGTGAAGGAGTGAATTTGAGCTTGGGAAATGGGGCAGGAAAGATACTATTTTAATGTTTGTCTTTTTGTTTCTCACTACACAAATCTACTTTAATTGGTAATAAATTAGGTTTCTCCAAGACAAGTTTGTTTTGCTTGTGACAGTGATTGGTAAGCAATCTCCTTGTCTTTATCTCAACCCACAAGCTTTCTTATCCTACCACTGAGGAGGAACAGTGACTGAGCAACTGGGTGGGTGTTTGGCTCTGTGCCAAGGCTAGCCCATCACAATATGTGCACAACAAAGAATATAAAATGAAATAAAATGCTGTGTCATATGAAAGAAAAAATAAATTATAAGTTATCATGCCTTTAAGCTTTATTAGGGGGTTTGTGAACATCAGCATTCTTTAATGAGAAACAACCTGTATCCACCAAATTGCATGCTGGTCATCATGACATTAATTAATGTGCTCAGTGTTCACTTTGTCCCATTTATGACAGCCATTATACGTATGAGTTTTAATTGAAGCAATATGACAATGACAAAACCAAGTATTTTTCACATTTGCAGGAAATGAGGAACATGCTTTCTGAAATAAAATTCTTGTTAGCTGAAGTTAGCACAATAGATTTGAAAGCAACAAAGTAATAATCCACAACATTATTCTAGTTATTCTCTCAGCATTTATTTGAAATATCAATACTTTCCATTATATAGTTTATACATTAAGCAGTAGGGAATTGTCTTAATTTCACATTATCCAGCACTGAAGTGGCACATTTGAAGCAGCACATTAAACCTCTGAAAGAGTCTGTAAAATTTAGATAAATAGAACTCTGGATAACTAAACTAACAGAACTTCTTCAACTGTTACCAAAAGAATGCCAAGAAGCTAGGCACAGCACTGTACACACAAAGTGCAGGAAGGAGGAAAACAAGAGAACCAACTAAACATATGGGAAATGTTTTTGCATATACAGCCACATGTCTTTAATTGCTCAACACAAAAAGATGACGTTTTATTTAGTCCTCACTGAGGGCAGAATATGCACAAATGATGTTCGAAGAACACATGGTAGACAGAAACAAATGAAGGGAGGGTCATGTTTGGTTGGTTATTGTATTCCTCAATGAATGAGTTTACAAAGGATATCTGGTGCTTAAGCAGCATGATTTTGTGCTAAGACCTGACAAGAAACAGTTAATAAATGCCAGTTTTATTCCCCATCTTGCCCTCTTACTGGCATTTTGGTGAGCATGCTCAAAGTTCCTGAAGGGCAAATTCAGGTGGTTTGTGGTCCAAGGTTTTTACTATAGGAATCCCCATTTTATGGTTTACAGTTTACCTCTGGAGAGAAATAGGCCTTTTAACAATAATTAAGAATATAAAAATGAGCAGAGAGCAGCAGGACACACAGTACAGTGGTTCACTTTCTGAGAAACCAGAGGGTCTACATTTACACCATCTGTGAGAACAGCAAGCCAGTTTGACTGGAAGGTACAATTCTGTTTAATCAGGGTTAGATCTGTGTGAACTGTATCATTAGGAAGAGAAAGACAGAATGGCAAGAACTTCTCCCTCTTTTTATAGAGAACTAAGACTGAAAAGTAATGCAGTGGTGATAGGCATTATCTTCCCAATACCACCTTCACTTCCTGCTACTTCATTATCACTTACCTGCTTTGCTTGCCATCATCTTCCCAGCCACATCTCAGTAATTACTCTGGTTACCACCAGGCCAGCATGGACAAAAATCTAACCCACACTATGCTGACTCGGAAGATACCACGCATCACCACCACGCAGTACAACAACACGTAAACCAAAGATGCTCAGTGGGAATCGATGACTCTAACCACTGCAGCTTGCACTTGTAAGGTGTAAGAAGCAGCATTCTGAAAGCAGTGGTACTGACACAATTATCTGGGTCAGAGGTGGTGGATCAGCCATCCTAATTGGGTAATGGAACTAGAATATCGACATAATTGATGGGGAAGAAACCTGACTGGCCATGAAGCATCCCCTCATACCAGTTTTCATCAATCTGGTTAGTGAGAGTAATGATATCACCCTCTTTGAATCCCAGCTCCCCTTCATTTTCTGGTTCAAAATCATACAGAGCTCGGCAGCATGGCTGATCCATGTGAACACCTATGGAGAAGAAACACAAAGAAACAATGTGCTTAAAAATCTCAACAGTTACAAGTATCCTTTTTACCACTGTACCTACTACAGATTTGGCTGTTTCTGGTATCACTCATATGCGGATGACAGTTCTGTGATAACATCTAAATTTGGACTGCTAACTTCATTAGAAGACAACTATCAGCTTTTGGCAGCCTTCAGTTTTTGTATGTGACTGCTAGTAAATGTTTGAGAATCCTAAAGAACCAAGCTACAGTCAAGCCCACACATAAAAACATGGCTACGATCAGTTTGCAATCTAATTTTTATGTGTTTACAAAACACAAAAAAATGAAGCTAAAGCCCTAATGTATTGCCGGCTTTACTGGCACAGAGATGCTCTATTTGCCACAGGCAAGTAGTGTAAGGGGTGGCTTAAAACTACAGTGAAGATGTGATTGTGTCTGTCCTTTATTTGGAATCTTCACTGGTACAGCTATAGTGTAAACTACTGTATATGCTCCTAATCCTCTGAATTTTAATATAGAGTTTCCAAAGACCTTTTGTCCCCATTCCCATAAAACACTTGATTGCAGGGCCACCAGGATAGATTCAGAACAAGTTTGAAATTGAAAGCTTTCTAATATGAACATCTGACCATCAACCCTTTAAGATAGCTAATGGATATTATTATAAGTAATTAGTTAATGGATATTATTATAAGTAATTAGATTAGATTTGCATATGTTGTAGGAAGTTAATAAATATTTCTTCCATCCCCTGTATTTCCTCTGCTTCCCCCACACACACCCCCCCCCAAGTCTCTATAGCTTCAAGCCTATGAAAAGCAAAATTGTTACTGGTCAGAATATCTAGGATTTGCAGCACAAAATTGTAAGGAATCTTGTATCCCTACCCAACTTTCCATAGTAAAAAATCATGCACTTCCAGTGGTGAGAACGAACTGACACATGCCACTCCACCATAATGGCACTTCTAAGAACACATATTTCAGCTTTTTCATGTATACCGGCTTCCAGATGAATAACTTTTTGCATGCTCGTTTCAACCATTCACTATGGCTAGAAGGCCCATGCTTGAGCTATTTTAGGACAAAAATATTCCATTTCTATAGATTTCAATAGAGCAAGTTTTTCAAATGCCAAATTTAATTTATTAAATTCTGTAGTGAAAACTTCTTTCATTTCTTTACATATCACTCACAGAGTATTTTGCTTTATTTGTCATGAAGACAATTTGCTGGCATCAACAAGCCTTACAATGCATGTTTGGTATCCTCATTGATACCAGCTGAAATTTCGAAGACTTAGCAAATAAACTCTAATGACCGTAGAAGATCAGAGCTTTGAATGAACCACCCCAAACAAACATTAAAGAATTTTCAAAGAATAAGGTGTTTCTCTGAAACTGATAAACAATTCAAAAGAAAAAAACCTTATTGAACAAAATGCCAAATACTGCTCTCTGAAGAAGAAAACACGAGTGCTGAAGAGACACAGGAACATCAGTCTGCACTGCCTTAGCACAGACAAATGTTCATGACACTACAAAAAAGAAGCAAAGAAGAAAATTATTGGTGGCATGAGGAGAGCTTTAGCATGCAAGACTCAAGCCACACTCATGCACAAGGAATCTCCATTATATCCCCCTCCTCACTAGCATAGTGAGATTGCAAGATTATGCAAGAAAATTTCCAGTTGCAGGTGCCAAATGGAGATACTGTTGCTGCCTATATCTGGGAGAACATCAAACATTCACATCAGGATGTGATAGGAAGGAAGGAAATCCTGATGAAAGATCTGGTGAAAAAAACCCAGTCTTGCAAGTTGGAGTGTGCTAGCAATTGTCACTGATGTAAACTGGAATAACTGAGGTCAGGGTCTGGACAGAGGACAGCCCTCACCATTAGCATGGGATATCAGACAATTGCTATAAGAAACAAATAGTAAGGCTTTCTTAGTATGTGCTGATATGAAATAAACACTTCTTTAAGATAATAGTTATGTACAGTCATATAAATGCTTAATCTTGCTTATGCTGCTCCCAATTGGACAAAGAAAATAACTCAGATGGCTTTGTTTTGCTTTTTAGTTATCTTTACTTTCAGACTCTTTGTGTTTTAATACCTGGCTTTAAAAAGCAGGGTAAGGTTATAGAGGCTTTGAGGGGTTCAGGTGTCTGCATTTTCATGAAAAACTTCCAGTTGTTCTTTTGGTTTTCTAAATGCCTGTTTTGTGAACATCTATATTTCAAGGTGAATTTAGTACAGCAGCATCTCTTTGAGATTCTAGGACTAAGGAAATTTTTGACCCGAAGACACATTTAAAGCAGTGGATGATCCATCCCTGTTCTCCTGGCAGGGGATGTGAACACTTTACAAAGAAACAACAGTTCAAACAGTTCTTTCCTATACAATCCTTATTCTCATTTTCCCTCGCTATGGAAGAACTAATCTCTAGAAGAAAGCATGGAACTTCTGCATTGCAGCAAAACTTCAGACAGAGTTGGCTTTTCGTCTTACATTGCTACTGCCTTTACCTGACGGTTTGGGTGTGGTGGCATGGGATATTCCTCCATTGTGCTGAGTATTGTCACCAGTTGTGAAATCTAGGCTCATACGGGGTTTGGGCTGGTATTCTCTCCTGGGCTGAGATGATGCCTCTTTTATTCTGCCAAATCATGAAGTTAAATGTCAAGAGTTAGTTTCTTGTTAACAGATGAGATACACCAAACATCTTTCTTTCCATGGCTGAAGTTCCCTTTCAGCAATCATCCAGACTAAACAAGTTTTGGCATTTGGAGTAATTTTTTGTTTATAACATTAGTTTAAATTACCAAACCCACCTGATGTGACTATATCATGAGTTTGTTAATTCTTCTTTCCCTTTAGCAATCTAGCATTTTGTCTGGCTTCCTTTTGTCTAACAACAACAAAGAGCTTCTAACAGAGAAAAACTTGTTATGTGATTAGCAATGCTTACAGAAGGGCTGTACAAACATCTCTGCCCCCATTTTTAGCATGATTTTTTGCTTCTGTCCCTGGCAAGCCTTAGCTATTGGCCGACGCCAACTCCTGTCATTTTGTGAGGAGACTGTGTGGGAATGTACTGACTTCAGTTGCAGACTTAGTTAATTTGTAATTTGGAACACTTGTTTCACAAAGGCACACAACTCCAGTTTTCCTGACTCTCAAAATAAAAACATCATACATCACTCATTTCAACTTATTCTTCTAATTGAGAAATATAGAATTTTCAGGATAGAGTGCATTTTCAAATACCAGGGTAAATCCAGGGAAGGGAACAACTGCCACATATATTTCTAATCCTGCATATGGAAGAATATTTGAGTCAAGACCTCTGTATTTAAAGGAGAAGTTGGTTTCTCTAACCTTCTCCAGATCTGCCCCACACTTGCTGTTGGTAGCATATTTTGATTTATCTTTCAGAAAGATCCGCTTCTAACTTAAGCAGTTTTGGTCCTGATAACAAGGGTTTCCTCATCATACAAAATATTATCAGTGTTAGTCAATCCCCAGAAACTGTTTTTCTTCTTCATAAACAAAAAATAAGCATATTAAAAATGTAACTAATGAAGTTGACAAAATAAACTTAAACCAAAAGGCTTTTCTGTGTTTCACTCATCAACAGAAGTTGATGTTTACTTCAAAACAGTAAAGTTTTAAAGAAAGAAATACTTATACAATTTCTATTACATTTAATATTTCCATGAAACAAATACCATTTTTTACAATTATAAACTAGATGGTGACAGTTCTAGTGACTTGCTAAAAATTGCCCAAAAGCTCAGCATAAGCCACGTTTCTTAAGAAAAGAAACATCTCCAGGGAAACCATTTCTGCTTCCCAGCTGCTCTGTCATGATACTGTCTTGAAAACTGCAACCTCTTTTTGCTTGATGAAAAAGAGAGTGTAAAAGGCAAAGCCTTTTCTGACCTTCCAAATTTTATTAATTTTATTGCAAGTCTCCAGATGTTTGTCAAATTTCTAAAGTTCTAGTTCCTGGAATCATGGTATTTTAAGGAAGTTTAATGTGTAGAACAAAAATGAAAATTCTTGCATTTGCAGTTCATGAAGAAAATTTTGAAGCCCAGAAAGAATGGAAAATTTAAGTGCATTTTTGAATTTTTCATGGCTTTTGCAGTCTAACTCATATTTTTCTTTTAGAATTCTTTCAGCAATATTTTAAACAGGACAATTAGCAGTTAGGACATTGTCCATGCCAAACAACAGCATGAACAAGTTCCATTCACATCTTTTAGAAAGTAGCTAGAAAACAGGTAGTATGTGCTGTGGAGTTCAGATGATGCTGCAGATGTTCACTGAGAATGAACAGTAACAAATTTGCTCATCTGAAAAGTAAAGCATTATTTATTTTCTGGTCCGTATGGTCAAAAAACAACCTCCAAAACCCAGGGCCATGCATTCTTTGCTGCCTGTATATGACCAGCAGGAAAAGACAAGCAGTTCAAATAGAAACAGCTCTACGTCCCTGCTTAATCCCTGGCACGAGCATAATCACAGTGCTCTAATTTGTGCCCAGTGGTGTGGAAAAGTATGATTTAGCCAGCAGACTCTTGACAGTTAGGGATGCACAATAAGTTTATGCAAAAGATTTACTTCAGCTGATCTATAAGGGCAGTCTGATGCAAGGTTCTTGAAAAGCCACAATCATTCATAGCTGACAAAGAAACGATACTGACTGTTTAGCAGAAGTTTCAAAAGGGCAAAGGATTATCTAAATTGATATAGGAAGAGAAATCTGTTGCAGAGAGAGGTATGTTCACTTTTATGGTGTAACTTAGGGACTACAGAACAACCCACCTGCTCCTGAGGATGTTTTAATGCTTCTGTAAAGTAAGCAAATTGCACTATTCATTTGGAAGTGCTGAAAATCATTCTCTTAGCTGTTTAGACAGTACTGCAAGCTGTATCCAGAAACAGCTTGCTGGGCAGTCTACCTACCAAAACAAGTGCTGCTTCTAATCACAAAGGAATTTCAAGACTTAGAACTCGATGAAGCTTACAGACCATGCGCTCTGAGAAAATAAACACTGACAGACCCAGTAGTACCAGAAACTAGATCCACACTAATGACATCAGAAAACAGCAAAGAATCACGCTGAATTAAAAAGCTGCCTTCAGACAGTATGTGAACATTATCTGCTCTTGGGAATTATGTGCAGGTTTTATGAGGAGTCTTGCAGCACCATGTGGACTAAAGAAAACTTTCTTGTATGTTAAGTTTCCTTGAAGAAGAATGTATGTGTGGGAAGCTGGTAAAATTTTACAAACATTATTTTCATTTCAAGGGGGTACAATCTGTTTTGTGTTGATAGAAACAAAAATTCTAAACTAAAAATTCTAAAATTCTATTAAAAAGATATTGTAGCAATACCGAGATAGCATTTCCAGTTACAGAAAAGGGGATGGAAGAGGTAAACTCAGTTAAACCTTGTATCAAGATTGATCTGATAATAAAGCTGGAAAAAAGGAGTTTTTAATAAGGTGGCAAATTGTGGGGGGGTCTCACTCCCAGGCTCAGGAAGATCTTCAGATAGATGAGAATGTAACAAGATACTCTTTTTCATAGCAATCATTAACATCTTCTCTCAGAGAGACTACCTTGTGAATAAAGGCACGAATGGTAAGGAATGCAAAGTTGTAGGTCCCACTGACTTCCAATATTTATAAACACTTGCTTTCAGTTAAATCCCATTTCACAGCTTTACTGTTGCGATGCTGAAAGCTGAGGTGCTTTCCTGAACTCAGTCCTCATTCAGACATATTCAGAGGCATATGCATCTCCAAAACATACAAACCTCAGCTTGCAATTGCCTAATGAAATGGCCCTTGTTTTCATAAACAATTACCAAGTTGCAAAAGATAAGTGTTGCATTCAACTCATAGTTTTTCTCCCTCTGTAAACCAAAAAAATTTTCAACAAACTTACAAAAAGTACATTACCTATCTTCCAGCTTAGAAGTAACTCGCTGTAGGATCTGTGTGGCCTGCTTGTGGTACTCCAGCTGGGCTTGTACAAGAGCAGAAAGCTGGCTCACTTGTTCAATCTGAGGATTGACATTGAAACATCACACCTTAGGTGAGTAATAACAGCTCAGCAATAGCGAGTAGAGACCACTGCCACACTGACACTGCAATGGCAGTTTTACTTACCTCTCTAAAAACTTGATTCATCTTTGTAGTTCATAAATAGTTACATATCAGTCTTTATGCATTACCATGTCTAGTTATGACCTGATCTGGAAGGTTAACTACAACTCTTCTCCGCTGTTCATTTGCATGAACAGCAGCCTACAGACCTACCTCATTCAGCAAACTCTAGGAAAGTAAAAACGAGACTGTAATGAGAGCATAACACACCTTCTGCCTCCCTGCCTTTGAGGAGCAGAAAACCACGGGGACTATGGTCATGCTTCTGTTCTGTTCTGGCCTGTGAAGCAGACCAAAACAGGAAGATACTATGATATTTGGATGCAGAATATTTGTAGTGAAGGCAGACAGCATTCTATTTCAGGAAGGAAAAACCATCCACAACTCTGGTGTGGGCCATGCAGTTGCTAGCAGTTTCCATAATACAGAATGCTGCAAATGGTGTAATGCAGGCCAGCACTATCTGGCCACATGGGGTTGGATGTCACTAGAAGGATTAAAAATACAAACTTGCTATACTTCTTTAATTTCAACACTGCTTATTTAATTTATAACATGCAAGTATTTTCAGCTTTGTTATGGCCTCTCTACAGAAATCTGGCAACAAAATGAAGAGTTAAATAAGGTATGTATTTAAACTTTAAGTAAAGCCAATCATATGCTTCAACATAAATATATAAGCTGAGTTTCATTTGACCACATATTCTGTAAGACAGACTTCAGCTGAAATGTTTTTTCCTCCAAAAGAGATAAATTTTTCTTATTCTTGGTTTTACAGTTTCAACATTAATAATAAATAGAAGATTAAAAAACATAATAGATCTTCAATTCTAAACCAGTCTGTAAGAAAAAAATATGCTGCAGAGACAGATTTGAGCAGCCACACTAACTTTGGCTTTCCTAGTCACAATTGCATCTGATTACAGCAGAGACTGTGGGCTTGTGAGTTCATAATCTCTCATCTTTTACCAATCCTCTCAGCAACCCACACACTTGAGTAAAAACCTTGGCTCAAACCCTAATCCTACAGCTAAGTAAAAGTCATGACTTACATTTACATTATTCTAAGAAGAAAGATATTTTGGTTTTGTAAATAGCACGATGCAGTTATGAAGCACAATGATGCTACAGAAGATTCATGTTCTTTAGCTCAGTTACCTATAAAATACCTATAAAGTTAGTCCTACACATGTATGGTGTACATTACGATAGCTTCTGAGCTTCTCACTGAGTCTACCAAGGATGCAAGTGTTCTTCCTCATTGTACAGTGACAGCAATCTGTAGTGTCATGGATTTAATAAAGCTTTCAAGTTTTACACTGCTTTAGACTGCGTCCACTGCTGCACCAGTATGTTTCTAAGATTCGGCTCAAACATTAACAAGGGATATCTCACATCCATCTCCAGAAGGTTGAACATGCTCGACTCAGCAATTTCTTTTGATTCATCAAATTTCTCCAGAGCTTGGCGAAGTTCTTCATCAGGGAGCTTGCCCTGTCTTTTCTTTTTGTAATCAAAATCCAGGCGTCGACCCTCCATTTTCTTTAGGTGATGCTAAAAAACAAAAATGCAAACGCAAGCACAGAATAAAGGATATTCTCCAACACTCCTTGTACTCCAGTATAATCAGGTTGTCCATGTTCATTTGTGAGCATGTGCTGTTTGCTGTGTATCAACCCTTCTCCAGAAGGGAGAGAAGACAGAACCTACTTCAGAACAATGAAGTAGGTGGTTTTACATATCCAGTCATGGTGTGCTGCTGTCTAAATGACAGGCCTTCAACATTAAAAAAAGGCCATGCAGGTTGGATAACTGCAACTGCCACCTGTATAAAAAATATGCAAGTTTCTAGCTTTTTAACTCTGATGCGGAATTACCTGAACACTATGGTTTTTCCCTAGATGTTTAAGAGAAAACTCTATTAAAAGCACAAGTTAGTGCATTTTTGCCTGTTTAACAGTTCTCATAAACAAAACAACATAGAAAATATTTTTATCATTTCCATCACACCACCAAAGGATCTTAATGTTATTTTTTATTAACTATGTTCTAGTTTTACTGACAAAACATTCATGTCAATCTGTTTAGCAGCTGCCACATCAAGCTGACCAAAAGTTAATGCTACCAGCATAAGCATGAATACTTCGGTGTTTATGTTCCCTCAGAAGAATCAATTTGTCATCTATTATGATATTTATAACTCTGTAAACTTTGTAAATTATATCAAACTGCCTAAGACATCTTTGTTCCACATATATTTAACAATGTGAAAACCCTACTGAGCTCAGAAGAAGTTACTTATACAGATAAGCATTTGCTGAATTGGGAGGCACTTGTACTTCCACAATTATAAAATTAGGTTGTGTCCACAGAAGTATGTGTGCAAACAGATTTTTCTCTGTAACTACTGGCTGGTTCTTGGATTACTAACTACATAATTGATGCAAGCAAACAGTGTTTCTGTTCAAAATTCCTGGGGAAGTTTCGGACACAGTCTTCATACAGACAAAAGAGTAGTGCCAGTCTAGAGGCAACTATTGAAATGCCCTCACATGTCATACACTAGAAAATGGAATGTAAACACCTGTTCACCTATTTAGTGAAACAAGCTTCCACATGGTAGGACTGAAGTACTGTGTTCATGCCTCCATAAGCGTCATGATGCTACCTTTAAAAAATGTTAGAATTTTGACCTCTCTCTTTCTAACCCATCAACAAGATGATAGACAGAACTAAGAAGTAAAACTCAAGCCAAAAGAGAGTAAAATCAGATCATTTGCAAATCTGAAAGCCCATTTTAAACTACACAACTAACATAAAATTCGAACATATACAATCTGCACATTTGGCATTAGTGAAATGCCACACTGAGGGCAATACCTGTATTTCTCTCAGGTCTTTGTCATGGAGATTCTGAAGTGGATCAATGAAGTTTTGTTTTACTTCCATGTCTAAAGAGTCCTTGACCTCAGAAAGCTCCTTCATAGCTTCTCCCACATCTGCAAGTGCTGGTCCTGAAAGAAAAGGTGTCCAGTTTTTAAATCACTGTAGAAAGAAACTGAGTCATGGAAATTTCAGTTAACATTTCATTTTAAGTGTAAAGTTTAGGAAAGAAACAGAGTATGACACACTCTGTGAAAGGGCAACATGGATTTTACACTTCTGCAGCCCCCAGTTTATGCCTTGTAACACAGCTGAACTTGAAGATCCACACTGTGTCAAGACAGCCTCGTCCACACCCCTCGTCTGTTCATTCCTCACTCTGGTGAAACAAACATGCTAGAAAAGAATTATCTGTATTTGCTCCAGTATTGCCATCACCAGACACTATACTGCATACAAAAATAGCTCTAATGCAAGTCTAGGTCTCCCTAGACTGGTTTGTACCAGTGAGACCGGTGACAGTATCAAATGTAAAAATTCATAACAATTTCACAACTTTTTTTTTTTTAATGAAAGATGTCTTTTGATGAAACTATCGACTTCATACAGCTACTCAAGTTCATAAACTTGAATCAGAATTATCTGCCTTCTGAGATTTCCTCCAAGATTAACTTGAGGGCTACAAAAACTATCACTCTGGTTTACCTCCTCTGCATAAAAACAAAAGCAAAGGGCTCAAAAATACCCTCCTGATTTGAGGTGAGGAAAAAATTCACTTTCAAAGAATACAAAGGGTCTGAAAACATAATGTGAGAAATCAGAAGGAGCTTTGTCTCCCAACAGGGGATGCCAGCAACGCATTGCACAACTAGAGAGCCTGCCAGACCCAGATGAAGAGTGACAAACAGCTATATCAGCTGCTATTAGTTAAGAATGTGAAAATAATTGCCATATCTATTCTGCTGCATGCTACTGCAGTCATCAGGGAATATACAGCAATTTGTGCAAACTAAATTCTGATAGTTCTTCATTTTCTTTTAAAAAATGTGTTTGAAATTTAGCAAATGAGAGGCAAGCAATTAAAAAAACCCAATTCAGTAGTGTTTAGCACAAATAAACCTACATCTGCCAAGCTAACTAGTAAATGATATAAAACAAACAAGAAAGTACCTTTTCCATTGCAGATGTCTTTATGACAGAAAGAACATTTTATTAAGATTCAAAGAGGAAATAGAATTTTCACAGTCCAATTTGAGGATCCTGTGTGTTGCCATATAAAAACAGCCACAGAGAAGCCCACACAAACAGGACAGAAAGACGAAAGACCCTGTGGTGAATGTCATCTCTTTTAGTTACACCTCTACTGTTGAAGAACACAATGTTAAGTCTCAGTTTAACATTTCCAACTCAGGCAGCTGTGAACTCATTTGAGGCTGGGAGGGAGGAGTGGTTGACAGGTAAGACAGGAGTATTCAAAAGTGTCTTAAAATGTGGAATTTGGTCAGTAAAAAATGTCAAAGTCTATTAAAAATCTTTTAGCCTTTATTCCTTGTCTGTAATGAAGACATTAACATTTATGATAAGGATTCTGAGGGCAAAAGGGTTTTATTGTACACATGCATAGACAGTAATACCATTTCTGAACACATCTTTCATCCCAACACATCCCCATTAACATAATCTATGACAGAGAGCCTAAAGATCTATATGGATGTGGGGCCAAATGGCAACAATTTGACTTTCATCCAGAAGAAAAAAATCTCTAGGCCAAATCCGCAAAAAGGCAACAGGCCTAGACCAACCTTAAAGGCGAAGCCTGATGAAGCAGAACTCTGATGCTTCTTTCAGAAGTTCTTCCTTTATGAGCCCAACATAATAATGAAATAATAATAATGAAAGTTGTATTAAATGTTACTACCATTTTTATTGCATTATAATGGCAAGGGAAGTAATCAAGTTACCAAAGTTGCATTCTTCTCCAAGTTCTCGGCCAAATTTCAGCATCGCATCTGCCAGCAGGGCTTCAGCCTGAGGGTAACCTGGTCCCTTTTCCTGGCCTCGAATTTTTGACATAGTGTTGATCATGCTGAGTTTAGCTCTGGAAGCTGAAGCAGGCAAGTGAGAGGTTACTAATGTGCAATAGTTTGACTACACAGACAGGAATGGACTCTTTAAAGCTACCTACAATGTATTTGAAGGACATTATCTAAGTTTAGGACTAAGACCTGTTTTTCATCAATTATTTTAAGAGTAAAGGAATGAAATGTTGTTGGTCACTTACTTTTTTCTTCTGTTGGTAGGCTAGAGAGGAGGCTCTGTCCTGAACTTTAAGTCAAAGCTTCCCTTGAAATGACTTGGACAGAAGCCCAGGAACACTCCCAAGATAGCATGTTTGGCACATGCTACAACTCAGGTAGAAAAATCTGTAAGCTATCCCCAAATTCTTAATCTTAAAATCTTCACGTACCAGGTGGATAGCAGATTGAGTCAGCGTTCCTCTCAAGGAGAAGTCCAGGCTAGGTACACTCAAGATTAAACTGTGGTGCCCCACATTTTTTAAATGTTTGAAAGTTTTTCTGTTGTAGAATATTAAATAAAACCTATGTCCCCAAATATGATGTCCAACAATCTTTGAAACGCTTTTTGCTTTTTATGGGGATTTGGGGAAACCCCTAGTTCAATACTGTTTTCAATTGTACTTTAGCTTGTATTGTATTTCAGATATACAACTGCAGATCAGAAGAAAGTATGCAATTATCACACCTGATGAACAAAGACAGCAAACATAAAAGAACTAATTTGTCTGATGATGTGTTTTAGTGAATTTTGCAACAACAGAATGTGAATGGCCTGCAGAGAGTGAATTAATTAATGGCACTTGATTTTGAATTTTGCCAGCTAAATCCTATTGCCCGCAAAGCTGACTCAGTGGGTGTTTCTACCTACATTATTGCAAATGCTATAGGAGAGCAGTTATGCATGCCTCTACCTTCCTCCTTGCAAAGACTTGACTTTGATAGCTGCTCTTATGAATCAGTATTTCTGTTTACAAAACATCAGTAGCTCGCACTGTTGTGTGCTGATTTCATTGTCTAAGCTCAACCTCACACACATTTCTGCAACAAAACAAAACTTTAGCAGACTAGAGTCAACAAGCATTTTGCTCTTCATTTATTGTCGAAAGCGCATATGAGGAGATGGTTCCTGTTGCTGAATATGTTTTCACTTTGTGGCATACAAATGTAGGCACAGACACAGACATAGAAACAGACACAGGATAATCAGGCAAGTGTCATAGTTCCTACTTTTGCCTGAGAAGCAGCTATGAAAGGATAATAAATTTTTAACATACAGTAATTATGTTTCTGTAAGCCTTCTCACTACCCTTGAGTGCTACCAGATCATGCTTTTCGGCATCTGAATTTCTTGATGCATTCTGTTTCTATCCACTACAAAACTACAGTCAGCAGACTAGCTGACTGTTCAGTATGAGAAACCGCATTTTAATGAAGTGTCTGGCCTTTAAAAATGGCATTGAAATGATGGTGGCAATGGGAAAATACAGAAGCACAAAAGAAACGAAGGCACAAACAAAATCAGTCAGGGGAATGGAAGCAGCAAGATGAATTAAAAAAGGAACAAATGGAAGAATTGTCAGAAACAGAAGAAAAAAATATGTAAGAGGGAATATAAAAAAAATGAAGTGGCTATATTCTGGACAGGTAGGTAAGAGCAGAAAGCAAAAGGTACAGGAAAGAATGAAAGAGATGAAAGGACAATAAGAGAAGGGCAAGAAATAAATCATAAAGCGAAGAAAGGTAAGAATGAAAAATTCATACTTCAGTGATTCATCTAACCATTTAATTATGATTACATTAGAATCCTGATTTAGTAGGAAATCTTAGAATACATCCACCAGTGATCTCATTCCGCTTTTCTTCTTTCAAAGTTGATTCCAGTAACTTCCATGGGAGCAGAGGTAAGTTTGTGCTCAATCTCAAAATCCCATCCTGAGCCCTTTCATTTCTATTGGTTTATTGTGCTAGTGCCATGTGCTTTCTTTTCTAAGTTATGTTTCACCCTGAGTGAGGACAGGCAGAGATGTATACAAAACACCACATGGAAGTGACCTGAATGCTTGATTCTTTTCTCAGTTGCACTCCCTCTCCTTTACATTGATTTTCATGGTGTCACTAATGATTCACCTTAATACTGTTAACAGAGCCATGGTGAATCATAAGAATACTGCCAAAAGAGTTTCAAAGAAACTTCAGCAGTGCATTCAATTGCTCATTCTTTGTACTTTCAATCTTGTTAATCCTGCATCTCTTTTTCTTAAAATTATGGTCATGTATAGTAAGTTTTTTATATTAGTAAGAAATTCTTCACTGTGAGGGTGGTGAGGCGCTGGCACAGGTTGCCCAGAGAAGCTGTGGCTGCCCCCTCCCTGGAAGTGTTCAAGGCCAGGTTGGATGGGGCTTTGGGCAACCTGGTCTAGTGGAGGGTGTCCCTGCCCATGGCAGGGGGTTGCAACTAAATGATCTTTAAGGTCCCTTCCAAACCAAACCATTCTATGATTCTATGATTCATCATGTTCAATTGTAGTTATTTTCAGCTGTCCTTCATTTTTTTTTCATAATTGGGAAGTCCACGAAGCTATCTTTTTCATTCACACTAACCTCAGCCCAACATGTTTCAATAAATTCACCTTTGTCTTTAATATCTTTTTCCCTTCCCTTCCCTGCCCTTCTCTGTACTTCCTTTCCCATTCCATTTTCCTTTTCTGTTTTCCTTCCAGCATTACTTAATTAACTCTTTAGTCAAGTTAGACAATGCTGCATACGTAATTTATTGATCCTTCAAAACACCCTGAAGCCGGATGAACTCTAGCACTGCAGTACTATGTTATCCAAGCATATTGATGTTTTCAGGGCACATCTTACTTATCCAGGAATGTGTGCTACATCCCAAACCCTCTTCTCCCTACCAAACCCAGGTACACTTTTAAACAAAATCTTCTGTTAAATATTGCTGTTAAAGAATTTTTTTTCATTAAATTCCCCCCTCCCTTCCCAACGTAATGTTTCTATTTTTCATGAAAATGAGAAAGCAAACAGGAAATACTGGAAATTGGCATTTTTGGTGCCCCAGGTAAATAGTAATATAGTTGTAGTGAGAATTTTAAAGAGGAATTTTTAAGTTCTACTGAAACAAGAAGTAATTTTCCATGCAATTCTTCTCACTATAGGGAGTCCTTTTGCTGTTGGCATAAAACAATCTCAGATCAGGTGAGAGATGAAAAAAGCCAGTCCTCCTTTCCTCTTACTCCAGCTGCTACCATTGCCCAGCTGTGGAATGAATAACATGATCTCATTTGATATGCAAGAAAGTAAATCTTCCTCCTGCCTATTACAATTTTAATTTTCTGATCCTCCTTGCACATGACACAAGCAGATGAAAGGATGTGTAGCTAGCGTTTGGAAACTGCTCTTTCCTGCAGCACTGCAAACTTACATCAGCCTGAGGAGCCTGAAATCACACCCTAGCTACTTCCAGAATTTTTGCTCTCTGCCATTGCTGTAAGCCTCTTTCATGACTCACAGCAATCATGATCACTCACAAGGCAGCCAGAGAAGCACTAAACAGCCAAAGCTTATTACTTAGTCTATACCATGTTGCACAATAGCAGCTTGACAGCAGTTAACGATTTTATCACTAGCCCCATAATGTTTGTCAATCCTATTGCTTTTCTTGCAGAGTGCTTGCTGACGATGAGCAATGAAACTGTGGACTCAAGTCATAAACAGTATTTCATCTGTTGACGTAGACACCATAGTCATCATTATTTTCTCTCCAGAATTTCGTGAACTATAATTCCTCTTTTCAATCCACTGGCAGCATCATCAAATTATCCTCCTTTCCTCTGTGGTCTACCATAAAAATATCACCAATTAAGCTATACCAGCAACAGTCCTTCACCTTACCACACTGGAGTTAAAATATTTCACATTGGTTTAAATTTGCTTCCAGTTATTAGGAAACAAATTCCTCACAGTGAATGAGTGAATTTGGTCTGTACTTCCATGAAACACTAAGACACTTAAGGTAGGTGAGGGCCTCATTTTACCTTCACGCTACTTTTGCACAACTGTGCCATCAGTGAAGCTGGCCTTGACTTATGCTAGTATCAAAACCCTTATGTTCCTAGGTAAGTATGGAAATCTTCAAGTCCTTGAATGTAATGCTTTACTTGATTATAAGAGCTCCAGATCACCCCTCCTTGTGAGAATCCTTTGGTAAGAGAGGAGCATGCAGCTCTCCATCAGTCCAATAACAAAACCTTTCTTTCATCTATCTCCCCATGGAAACCAATCATTTATTTCTATTTTGAAGGTCCAATTTAGTCATCTCTAATTATGTACATTTATCTGCCCTTTTCTCCAGTTCAGCATCAACAGCACCCTCCCTTTTGCAGTAGCACTAATGAAGACGGGAAATCGCTAGAGGACCAGGTGAAAGGTGTTGTTACATGTCTTCCTGTGCCCTGGAGGACATTGCTTCAGAACTTTGTCTTTCTCCCCATGGTCTGCAAGGACTGCCTGGTCCTTTTCCCTCACACAGGGTGAATGACTAGGACTGTAGAAGAAAGAGATGTCTCATGCAGACATCCTCACCGTGCCTGACCCTGATCCCCCATCCAGGCTGATTGCCTGGCCTGCCCCATCCCCATGCCCAGGTAGGTGCCTGATGCCCAGGGCTGCTGCTGCCCCCATGCCCCCCAGCTGCCCAACTCCTGGCTGGAGCAGTAGGATTGGCCCTGGCTGCCAGGCACTGCCCTGCTGCCCCCGGGGAATCCACAGCCATCTCCAGCTCCCAGGGAGCCCCCCACACTCACAGTGCTGATATTCAGATGCCTGCAAGTAAATACACCTGGTTCCAGGCATATGCTGCCCCTTCACCTAAGGCAAGAACGCACAAAATGAAAACAAGCCTCCCAAAGCCAGTCTCCATTCCCCCTGACAGGCTAACACAGAAGCCTGTGCTCATCTCTGTCTTTTAGTTCATGGTAACTTCACCAGTTTTGTGCTTATCTTAACTGCGCCAGTGAGGATGAGATCTGTCAGACTATATATTGGTAAGAAAGAATATTTTCAAAAAGTGCTGCAAGTACTGTGAGACTGTGAAATTACATTACCTGGATTGGGCTGAAGATACTCTATTGTCTTTGCCATTATTTCCATAACTGCCCTGCTGGTAACATCCACTTTCTGAAGGACAGAGAGTTAAACAAAAAGAAACACAAAAAAAAGATGTTAGATAAAAGGAAGATGTTTTTCTCTCTTCTTTTTGTTCTTATAAATTCTTTTAACTCTTCTTATAATTTTATTTTTGTGTCCCTGAGAACAGCCCTGGTACCAGAATGGTGATAATACCTGAAAACTACCAAAGAACGAGTCCACCATTTCAATTTACAGCAGATCCATTCTCAAATGAGGCCGTTAGTACAGAGTACCTCGAGATGCGTTAGGCATTTGATACGACTCATTGTACCGTGCTGATACTTTACATCACCCTGGGAAACATGCACAATAAGGAGAACTTTTTGATAGAATGGTCACTGAAAACTGTTTGAAGAATTAGCCATCTTTGATCCCCTAATGACTGGCAAAATGAGGGGAAAGCAGATGTCAATCAAAACCAACCACCAGTGATGAAATGGGTTGTCTATCTCTTTCAGAGCTAGTCTAGTAAAATTGGGGTAAGAAGACTAGGTATCACCCAGTTTCCAATTTCAAGAAACCTATCAGCATGGACGCACTGACCGTTTATTTACACTGGCCGACTCCATGTAGAATTATTTTATATTTAAGAATTTAGAATACTTAGAACTGAAAACCATTACTTTCTTCTACCATAACAGGGATTCTTGCTTTCTTATGGAGTACTCTGCATCAGCTTCCTAAGCTGCACATAGCAAAGTATGCAACTGCTCTCCCTCTCAGAATCAGGGCTCAAAGAAAAAAATGCTGCTTTGGCAGATTTGGGGATCCCCGTATCCTGTCCTGTACTCTGCATTTACGAAGACACATTGCATTTCTCTGCAGTGTAGCTTGTGTCCCACAGAGTGAACTCCCTTACCATAATGGCAAGTTCCTATTTTAAAAAAGAACACCTGAGATAGGTTGGTTGCAGCACGCTGTGACTGACCTCTTTCCTCTTTCCTGTTGCCACTGCCATCTGCCAGGTCTTGCTCTATGCTTTGCCCAAAGAAGCAGAAGAGGTCTGCCAGCCCAGGGTGAATAAGTAGCTGAACTGCCTGGTAGGGAGCCCAGAAATGCTAGAAGGCTGCAGAGGAGAGTGGGGGTGAGGAACAGACGGCCGGGGATAGGCAGAAGGAGCATGTCCACTGCCAAGAGAAAAGCTGGCAGGGGATATGAGGCCAGGCAGGGAGTGTGGAGGCAACCGATGAGTTTACTCCATTCTCTTCTCAGCCTGGGCTGCCAACCTATGCCACCCACGAGCACTATGTGGGACTCACCCCTGGCTGTTGCAATGTCCTACTTTCCACTCTAAACCTTGCATCTGTTTTTGGAATCTTCGTTAACATCTTCCAGTTTTGACAGCAGTGCCTATAAACTAACTTCTTAAACTTAAAGTGCCTAACTTCCAAAGGGAAGCTGGGTGGAAGGGGAAAAAACAGCTCTGCAGTACTTTTGCTGTAAGTACAAAGGATATGGCCTTCTCCTTTATTCTCCATCCAAGGTTTTTTCCCCATCTTACTATATAAATGTACAGATAAATGGCTTTCTCTTGATCAGAGTTATGTATCAGACACATACCCTACAAATCACCTAGCAGTAGCTTGTGTTACAAGATTTGATGGTGCCTTTCAAAGTTGAAGCCAGAAAAAAACCTGCCCCTGCTGATCCTTCCAACTGAAATATTACCACTGCCACACACAGCTGTGGCTTTTTTTGTTTTTTTCCCCTCCATAGAAAAACTCAGTGCTACCACTGCCAGCCTCACCAAGCGGTCTGTCAGGGGGCTGGGTTAGCCTCATCTACCCAAGGCACTTTGCCAGTGGAGGCTGCCTAACAGGAATGAATATTACAATGTATTGTCAACCCCCCTTTGGCAGACAGCTCTTGCTCCTCTTGACTGATGCTCAAGCTGAGAATTACATGCATTCTTTGCCATTGAAATGACCATCTTGTAGACAGACTTTCTCTGCTGTAATATCTGAGTTAGTGATAGTCTTGGCTGCAGTAATCACAATATTGTGGAGTTTGGGATCCTGCTGAGCATGCTGAAGGTTAGTACTAAGACAAAGGTTTTAGATTTTAGAAGAACAAACTTCAGCTTGCTCAGAGCTCAGTCGGAAGGGATTCTGTGGGAAGCTTCCATGGTGGACAAAGGAGGTAGTGAGTGCTGGGAGTTCTTCAAGAACGATCTCCTGAAAGCACAAACCCAGTTCATCCCCTTTAAAGGTAGGGTAAGTAGGCAGAGCAAGAGACTCCCTTGGCTTAACTGCGAGCTTCTGAGTCTGCTCAAAACCAAAAGGGAAGAGTACCAGAGGTGGAAAAGCAGACAAAGACTCAATGAGAACTACAACAGCATTCCCAGGGTGTGCAGAGATGCAGTTAGAAAAGCAAAAGTTCAGCTTGAATTGAAATTGGCCAGCAATGTCAAAAACTACAAGAAAGAGTTCTTCAGGTACATAAACAACAAGCAGAAACAGAAGGAAAATACTGGCCTGCTGTTAAACAGGAGAGGTAAAATAGTCACCAACAATGCTGAAAAGGCAGAGGCTCTCAACATTTCCTTCACCTCTGTCTCCACCAGCACTGTTGGGCCTCCGGCCTTGGGAACAAAAATCCAGGTTGATGCAAACACAGACCCACCATCAGTGAAAGAAGAGTTGGTGTGTGAAGTATTACAGGAGCTTGACCCCTACAAATCAATGGGTTCTGACAATATCCACCCAAGGGTGTTAAAACAGCTGCCTGACATTGTTGAGAAGCTGCTTGTCAGGCCACACCTGGAATACTGTGTTTAGTTTTGGTCCCTGCTATGCAAAAAAAGATATGGACAGGCTGGAGAGGGTTCAGAGAAGGGCCACAAAGAAGATGAAAGGACTGAAAAGCCTGCCATATGAGGAAAGGCTGAGAGAACTGGGTTTGTTCAGCCTTGAGAAAAGAAGGCTTAGGGGAGACCTTATCACCATATTCCCATACTTAAACAGTGGCTACAAAGAAGATGGAGACTCCCTTTTTACAAGGAGGAGTAATAGATACAAGTCACTCCTGGGGAAATTCCAACTGGACGCAAGAGGAAAATTTTTCACAATGAGAATTCACATTGGAGTAGTTGCCCCAGGGGAGCGGTGGATTCCCCAACACTGGACAGTTTTAAGATTCACCTGGACAGGGTGCTGGGCATCTTGTCTAGATTGTGCTTTTGCCATGAAAGGTTGGAACAGATGATCCTTGAGGTGCCTTCCAACCTGGTATTCTATGATTCTATGCTTCTTTTCAGAGATCCTCTACAATGATTTAACTGAAACTTACCTGTAGCTGATATCAGCCTCAATTTCTGAAATATTTGCATTACAAAGAGTGCCATATATTATGTGTGCCTTGTTTAGAAAACAAAAAGAAATAAGAAACAGAATGCTCAGTTCTGCTGAATAAAAGTTAAGTCTTTCAAAATTATTTGAGTGTTCAGAGACAAAAGCTTTGAAATTCCTGTCCAAGACAGGAAAAATGTATGGTAATAATGAATATACACATCTGTATTTACACTTACCCTTTCCATTTCTTTGAAGTCATCATCTAGCTTGGTTCCTTCTGCACCTCCTACTTTTTCACTCACTTTCTGCAGTTAAAAAAAGAAGAACAAACAGGTTCAGCAATAACTGAAATATCTAGTCACCGTGTTTTCCTGGGGAAAACACGCTGGTACAACACTCAGACATATTACTGCTTCTGAAAAACTTATTTCAAACACACTTTAAGTTAATCAATCAGAAAATAATATATTACTGCGTAAGTCTCAGAAACCCAGTCTTCTGCTGGTGTCAGAAGCACATACTATCATGTCTTTGCAAGATCACACCTCTATTTCTCTGTTGAATTAATATCTGTATCTTGGAACTTATCAAGTAATTACTCAACAATGACAGATCTGTATTCAGTAGACAGAAATATCCATCGCTGTGTGTGCTGATGAAAAAGGAGGTGACATGATAGAATGAACTGAGGAAGGAATCAAGGCACTAAAAAATTTCTCATCAGAGCTGAAAAATGGCCCCAGGTGCTTTGTCCAGTGTGTATCAATGCAACTAAGGGTAATAATCATGCCTAAACACAGAGCAAGAAGATCCCAAGGCCTGATTCTAGCCACCCAGAAGGCAATAGGCATCTACGCCTGAGAACTCTCAGAAACATACCAACTCAAACCACCACCAGACCTTCACCATTAAAAATCAAGTTTATAAATAAAAGTGATAGAAAACAGGTAGGTAGATAGGTAGGTAGGCAGGCAGATAGATAGATAGACAGACAGACAGACAGATAGATACAAAAAAACCTGTATTCACACCATGTAAGACCTCGAGGTTCACATGAGTTATATATAAAATACCCACTTGACAGAGCCATTAGAAAGAATGAAAGGGAACTTTGGTATCATGTCTTTAGCAAATACTCTGTATTTTATAAAATATTCAGTTTGAAAACAAATTGGAAAATTATTTTGTGTTACTGTTTCACTTCCCTGATTCAATGGAACACACTGAACTGAGTTTCCTTTTACTGTCAGTAAAAGTGACAGTAACAGATTTGAATGGTAGCTGTTATGCAGCACCATTCAAAATGGATTTTAGCAATTGTATTGTCAGTCACAAAGTGGTTTAGTGGTGTAATTCCACAACTAAGGTGAGTATGATCCAATGGATGTACTAATCTTCCACTGGGCTGATATTTTTCTGAAAAATTTCATCAGACATTTGACTTTCTATTTTCTATCCATTTTTAGTTCTTTGTATATGAAAACCATTTAATTTTACAAACTTTCCTAGGTGCCTCTGAATCACCTTTAGACTGTTTTAACTAAGTGTAACTACTGATTTCAGTGAAGTGACTCCTGCAATAAACAAGGAGAAATGAAATAAAAATTGCACTTTTTTCATCTTGGTTTCAACCATTGTGTTAACATTTCTGCAGCTTTCTTTTAGTATAAAGAGGAGGAAGACCCACAGTTAATCACCACGTCATTAATAAAATCCAGACATTTGATTAATTTCAAATTCACTCCAGTTCATTCCAACAAAGCTGCAAGTGCAGCATGGCCAAGTGCTTACTAATGCAGGCTATAATTATCTGTGCAATAGGAAATGGCTATCAGCTCTGTTTGTTTTCTGTTAGCTCCTTGCAAATTAGCACCCAAAATGATGCATTAATGAGACATCAATACTATGAAATATCCTGAAAAAAACAAAGAACTTATCCTTTCTTTCCTGTACAGAAGAGTATAAATCCATGCAGACACTCTCTTGTCATTAATCTGAATGCAGATGAGTTTGTGCATCTGTATTACTGAACCTGTGCCTTACAGAGATTAGTGAAGCTCCACAAAAAAATCATAGATTTCAAAGTCAGTGCTGTTAGGAACAATTCTGCAGTGGACAAGGGATAGATTCAATGTCCTAAAAGGTGTTATTCATTTGCAGTTTCTGTGAAAAATGGTGACAAAGGGAGCATAAAAGACCAGAAGCTTTCTTCACCAATCCATGAATTAATCTGCAAATGGACCTCCTACTACAGATTATATGGTAAAATCTGCACAGGAGCTTTCTACCACAGAGATTTCAGGACCCTGTAAACATCAGTATGCAAATATGCTAGTACTTCAATATTCAAACCAAATTTGGAATAACTGAATTTCAACTCTAGGGATACAAAGTATCCAAAGGTAATTAATGTTCCAGCCCTTTTTAGCTGTTACTTTACATCACTTTGAGATATTTTAATAGTTGACCAGTTCTTGCCCCTTAGGGCAGAAGGGGGAAATCTCCTCAGAAGAGGGTATTAAGCCCCCTTTGCAAGGCCATAATCTGAAGTGGTTAGGCGGGAGCAGTGGGCCTGAGAAAGGCAGCCTAAGCATTTGCTGAAGAGTCCACATCACTGTATTGATTAAATATGGAGATATTCTTCAGCCCGTTTATATCCATCCTCCAAATCAGCTGTTAAAGCATTTCATTAAGGCTACCATTCCACCATTCTCTAAGATTGTCAGATTTGATTATCACAGGTCACGCAGCTATGCCAGCTCACATCAGCTGAGGATCTGCTCTCCTGCTAAAGATTCAGAGCCGGTCAGAAACATCGCCAGCTAACAGCTACAGCTAGCCAGGAAACAAGTGTCCTTGGCCACATCGTTTGAGTGGAGGTTTCAACAGTTTAGTTCCTGCCTTACAACCGAATGAAAATTAGGACCTTTAAGGTGTCTTTAAAAACAGTAACACTACATCTCCTCCTAGTCTAGTCATACGGAAGAATCAAGACCTAATCTGATACCACAGCCAATGTTATTTAGTTATTCTGCGATTGTGCCTTCTCTTTCTAATGTTGATTATCTAGTCCATCTTGCCTCCAAAAAGCCTTTACAATAAAATTATTGTTAAAATATAAATATTTTCATGAAAAATAACAGATTCAACATACAAACATTTTCTGGGTGTGTGTGTGGAAAATGTCATGAAAACATTTTTGTGCATCAAAAATATACAGACTTTCTACACCTAACAATGTCGTGTTTTACAGTGGGGATCTCCATATTTTATATGACTGAAAACAAGTGCTATATGCCTTACAGCAAATTCCAGTTTTATAAGGATTCCACTTCCACTCAGGCAGACTATTAACTTAACACTTGCTGGTCAGAATGGTTTCAGTAGGGACAAAAAAAGTGGCATGAATCATGCACTTAGGGGAAAAAACAAACTTGTTTTTTTTCCTGGCAGATAATATTAAAAAGGCAGGGTTTTGGTAAATGCTGACAGGATCTGGAATATAAGCCATGGTAGATGGATTTCATGTAAAACAACAAAACTTAGCAAGTCTTAGTTACGGAGCCATGTTCCATTTTTCATACAGCTGTGCAATTAACCTTTTTTTTTAATTTTATTACTGTGTTATGACGAGGACAAAAAAAATGCTTGTGCAGTCACTATGAATATGCTGAAAATTCCAGTTGCTTTTCATAGAATACACTGACGATCACTTGTACAATATCCCATACAGCAGTCCTCAAAGTAATGACAATATGAATCTGACACTGTCATCTCTCACTACTCACAAGATATTAAGGTAAATCAAATGTGGATTAGATAGCTATTACATGAGAATTATGTACTTCAGTACTATGATAGTGCATCATACTAGAGTGCCTTCTGAACAGGTCAAACAACTGCTACCAGAAAGCCTTGCACAGTATGATATGCCACTACCCAAATTTGAAAATGCAGCAAGATCAGTGTTAAACTATAATAGTAGTTACCTGAGTCTGCAGCTCTATTAATTTCATTAAATACTAGTTTGGCAGCATGTATAGAAGGCAGCTTTGCTTCTATACAGGAGTAGAAAACCAGCTTTGAATAGATTACCACCACAATGCACTGACTTTGCCTATGATGCAAATTGAATGAGCTGTCTGCAAAGCAGTCATACCACAGTAAGACTGAAAAAGTAAGTCTCTTTATGGCATGCATTCATAGCTCCAAATACAGAGCTCAGCAACATGGTTACTCAATGCACACAGCACACTCTGATCTACTTCTTTATACCTTTCATCATTACCGCCATCCTAGACTGGTTTTCTCATTTGGATATTTTAGAGATTGTCCTTCCACAATGTTTCTTATCTACCACATATAGTTCAGTTTCCATGGCATAACTTATCTGTCCCTAAAAGGAAGGCTGTTGATACTACGGTCCTATCAAATTGCCACACAGTGGACGGGGTGGTAGGACCAAAAATGTTATTTATATGAAAGCTACAGGAAACAGTAATGAATGGAGCTTACAAATTCATGACGGAGAAAAATAATGCTCTCTGTAGTTCATGCTTGTTAAATGCAAGTCACCCTGTTGACTTCTCATTCCTGACCACTTAGTATCTGTTCCAAAGGTTTCTATAGTTCTTCCGTGAAGAAGTGACTTTTGCCTTTGTGACTTTTGCCTGTCACTGTAAGGGTTCGTGTTCTGGAAGTACAGTGACAGGAGTATCTTCAAATTTGTTAAAGGTTTTCAAACAGGGTCTAAAATGCTGTGATGCTTTGTTAGCTCTGCAAACACAAGGAAGACATAGCTGACTTGCAAAAGAAAGTAATGAGAAATACACATTTTAATGAGAAGTCTGCCATTTTAATGGGAAGAAGTCTGTCTGTGCACACATGGTGAAAGTTTGCCAACACTGCAGGTTTTTCAGGAGAAAACACTTGAAAAAGACCATTTATAAAAAGCACAGTCTCTAATAAGGATTTTTTTATTATTATTCTCTCTGTCACTTCACATGCTAGAGTAAGACAAACCTGCCACTTGCAGACTAATTTTTCTGTCTGTTTGATCCTGCACAGTTTGGGATTTATGGTACCAGACTTTGTTACCACAGAAAATATGTGACATCTGCAAATCATATTTATGGTCATGGCCCTGGTTCTTCGCAGATAATGAAACATACTTCCTTGTGGTAAATCACACTGTCAGCAAGTGAGAGTAAGCAAGTAAGCAAGTAGACAGAATAAGCAAGAGAGATTTTCTGGCGATTTCAGATAAATTAGAATAGGGACTAAGAGAAAAAACACACCTCAAAAGCATATGTAAATTAGCTGTATTTTAGACTTCTCCAATTGACATCAGAATATGAAAGAAAAGAAGGATCTTTGCTGGATTAGTTTGGAGATACCTTATCTTCAGAAACATTAAGAGGCCACAGAAAGTATCAGTGTTCACAACACCTTAATCAGTACTGCAAAGGAAGTTAACATCTGACTTCAACTGAGGTATAGTGATCTTTCTTAAGCTTTCCTGGAACAGTCATCTAGATGAGGGAAGTCCTGATTTACAAGCCAAATGATCCAGCATCATTAGTCTTGGAAAGCTTCAGGAAATTCAACAGATGTGATATACCTCACCAGAAGCCAGAAGTGTCTGATTAGCCTTCTACTTACATTGCACTCATTTGTAGAGCAACTAAGCAAAACCCACACTTCCATTAAACACAAAAGATTTCACAAGACAGGAAAGCTTATCACCCTCTCCCTTGCACTTAAAATTCTTTGAATGATATTCTATTTTTCTTTTAATTCGTAAACACCTTGTGCCAAATAGGGACTGTCAATGGGACATGGCATGAGAATGTAGAACAAGCCACTTCAGTAGTAAAATGGAAATAGGAACCCAATTTAACACACATTTGAGATACAGTGATGCCCATTTACATTTCATCGGTAAATTTCTCCAGCTACAAGGATGGCTACGAGGGCAGTCCACAATGCCAGCTGGAGCTCATCAGCAGAAGATCCTTCCCTTGCAGAACTGAGGAGCACAGTGCTACCACAAGAAGCTATAAGGGGCCATGAAGACAGTGTGAAGGGCAAAAGGGAAAAAAAAGAGATGCAAGAATCTCTAGGGAACTTCATTGTTTATCTCCTGTTTGCATTGAGACTTTGATTATGCCACTGAAGCTTTCCTTTCTCCTTGGCAAAATGAAGAAACACACTTGCCTACCACATGGGAAAATTGTGAGCATTAATTTGCACCTGCTACTGCTTGCCATCAGGAGCATATCTGACAGAAGCATTCGTGATATAGTTAAGGTAAGCATCTGCCAGACAAGCCTGAGATTATCTTTTCCGTTCTGTCACTCAGTGATATATTTAATCAGGATACTCCCTCCCTTGATAGCACTGAAATCACTTTCTCCCTCCTATAAATCTTTGTTTGCTGGCCTGTTCCACCACAACACCACACCAGCCACAGGCTGGGTGGGTTTACCCTCCCTTAAAAGTTCCCTAGATTCTGCTGTTGAATGCAGAAGTGTCAACAATAAAGTACACTATTCAAAGATCAGGAAGTGAACTGAATTTTGGAAACTCAAGAAGAAAATGGAAGGCTATGACTGGACTTTAAAAGGCTTGCCTTCATCTCTCACATAGCATCTTCTAAGTACCCTTTTTATATATACACACGCACAATAGCTTGGCCTTCCTTGTCCTCACAGTTGCTAGTAGTAGGGCCCATAGCCCTGTGAAGAGCTCCACTAACAGTCTGAAGGCAGGTCAGAAAGCCACAGAAATTGGCTGTAGATGTGATATACACAAGATACAGGCATTGGCAATGCTAAAGACAAACCATTGCTAAAGCTTGTCAAGTCATGAAGGAAATTCTTGGTGGGACAGGATCTCCAGTAACACCAGTGATAGTCTGACGCAAAAGCAAAATGGCGGAGTGGAACTATTTCTCCCCAGGAAGGACAAAAAAGAGATCAGGATCACAACCTCCAGCATTGCTGCAGTGGAAGAAATACACATTGGGAACCTGTCCTGTGTTCTTACTCTCCTCATTTACAATCAATCCCTAATTTGCCTTCCCTCCCCCCACCATCTTCAGCTAAAGCTGTAAAGGAGGAGGGAAGAAGGCGTATGGATCAATGCTTTCTTTGACCAATCTGATCTAGCATTTTGTTTCCTGACTGCTCGGACGACACTGCAGAATTCCTGCAACTCCAGCATCACAGGGGGAGCCATTCACATTCAGCACTAGCGCATAGTATGAAAGCACGCCGCAAGCTTCTCCGCTGACAGGGAGTTACTGCAGAGCCTCTGCTGCAATGCCACTGCGGTACATTGGAGGCTGTCCACTGGTAAGTGAAATAAAGCAGGATGGTAACAGGGAAAGAACTGCTGAGGAAGTGCTGGTGTAGTAGTGCTCTGCGTTGTATCTCTGTATGGGAAGTCCCTGCGTAGAGGCACCCACTGTGACAGATGAGGTAAGTACTACCCCAGGGCAGACAAAAAATTTGAATCAATATTATATGTTCCAGTGACAGACGCGTGCTGACAGATGAGGCGCTGCAGTGCATCCACAATAACCAAGAGAATCCATTTCACACATTTAAACATATTACTGGAGTTTCACATGTTCACCAAACACACACTTTAGGAGATCGGTTCTCTGCAAAGTGTTAAGTTCCACCAGAAAGCTGGTCACAACCCTAGCACCTTTGCCAGCTCCTGAGGCCACTCTAAACTGCAAAGAGAAGCTGGCAAAAGCTCAAAAGCTGCCAGAGAGCTAAAGACAGTCAGAACACTGTGTGCTTTTTTAACACTCTCTGTCCCCAGCAGGCGACCAGTATGAGAAACAGAGAAGAAACTGGCATTGAAAAGGTGGCTGTATTAGCTCAATGTGCCAATCTCTGCTTTTTTTGCAGTACAGGAAAGGAACAGAGAATCTATTCCCATACGTTACCTGTTCCCACATGGTATTTCTACTTAGAATGACAGCAGTATGACCCAGTCCCTTTGCTGGACCTGTAGGCGATAAAATGGTCACAAGTTTTTTACTCCTGTGCAAAGGGATCTGGATTCAGACCCACAATCCTTATGAGTTCTCCACACAGCAGTAGCGGTAGCCCTGCCCTACGCTGCACTGCCACAGAGAAAGAGGACATCTGTGCTCTATTTCCCGGCGTGCCAAAAAATTTGGTAGCTGCCTGAGTGTTTCTTCAGTGTGAGTGGCTCACTCAGCTGGGTGGTGAGAAGGAAACTCTGAGGAAAGGGCAAAACTAATACAAGAACACTAACAATTTTGGAGGTTCTATTTCTTGCCTGGAGGTGCACAGCACCAGCTTTCTCATCTGGAATGCTATCAGCATATTCTTCTGTTTTAGGAGGAAAGTGTAAACCATGAAATCACACATTCATTCGAACTTTCATACTTCTCTTACGCCTCCAAAGCAATTTTTATTAAGTTTTAAGAGGAAGACGCTTCCTCTGGGTAGACAGAATTGCAAGCTTTACATTTTCTTGCTGCACTTTCAGGCAAGTGAGCAGTGGATCTTAAAACTACATACAGCGATGCATGACAGTACACAGAACAAAAGAGGGAAAGAGACCACAGAGTGTGTATCCAGCTAGCACTCTCACCTGGAGCCCAGGTACAGCATGCTTATGGATCATGATCCAGCTTATCTCAACTACATACATTAACACATGCTTGCTCCATCCACATAGCTTCTAAGTTCAGCACAATCATCTCTTCCTTCCAACTGCTTCATTTGGCACAGGCATACGTCACCACATAGCAAACCCAATCTGGGTACAGCTGATAGCTGGCTTAAACCATCCCATGCTTTCTTAAACCACGCTACTGGACTGTTTGAGCTCACCTATTCCGTTTCAGCACAAAACTGTGTCTCCTGCAGCAGTGGTTTAAGCTGCCATCTAGGAGACAGAATTCACATTCATTCCTCATGAAGAACAATGCTTAGTCTTGGCTACTGACCCAGGTACCTTTCATGAACTAAACATCAACTTTGAAAAACATTAGAGTATTTCACATGCAGGCATAGCAGGTGAAGAGTGCTATGGCACAGTCTAAACCTTGCTACGATCTCCATGAAACATGGAGTCCAAATACCCGATCAGCATTATGCAAGCAGTGATGCAATGAGGTACTGTTGATTGGTTAAGCAGGCTCTACTACACATGACATTCTTAGCAAATCAACTACTCATTTTTATGGAGTATCAGAGCTTTGGGGGTATTAATGAATTAAAGTTTAGCAGAAATAAATAGGACACAGGCAAAAAAAAAAGGGGCAAAACTAACAGCATGAGAATTTTACAGCAATTAAATCCCATTTAAGGCATATTTTATAATTCTACATAATGTACACCAGTCTACATGCCTTCTGCTGTGTGAAAGTCAGCCTAAGTCCTTAACATCTGGAAATGTGAGAATGCCAGGAACATTCAGAAGCTGCTAGAGGCCAGGAGAACAAAACATGGCTTAAACATGATTCATCGATTGAACAGCTGTACAAACCACACTATTGTGAACTCTTCCCTTCTACATTTGAAAGTGCATTTGCTGTAATCAGTCAGTGAATTAACTGTTTGCTGCCAAAGACAAGATATTAAAGGGAGTTTGTGAGGGAAAGCTGTTGCTGGTACTGATGTCCGTTTTATTTCTGGTGTTCCTATTACCACAATGTCTAAAAGGCTGCAGTCTATACAGCACAACAAAGTGCCAATCCAAACTCTGTATATTTTCTTATACTGTTGGCAGTGTTGATAATTTATTAACTACATGCAAAGTAACCCAAAGCCATCCATCACTTTCTGTTTGGTCGCAGCACATCCAGAAATTGCTGAGATCTGCTTTAAGCTTTAACTTTTCTAGATGAGCGCTACATAAATTAAGCTGAATGCCCTTTCCTTAAATTCCCCTCCTGTGTCTCACACTCACTGCGTAAGAGCAGTGTGTGCCAAAGCACTGGCCTGTTACCAGGGGCAGGAGAGCACTACAGTACAGCAGTAATGCCCAGACAAGCTCTGGGTATTTCTGGAGTGACACCCTTGATTGATTGAAATGTGGCATGCCTTTTTTGTGAGATGTACACAAATGAAAAAGAAGAAGAGAAAGGGGACTGGATGAGTTAGGACTGGATGATCCGTATCCAGATATAAGAAAAAAATGACAGATGGCACCACTTAGCCCGATGCTGTACTGTGTGTGAGCACGCTGCACAGTGCACCATCCAGGAGCAGATGCAGCTTTGCTGCTGCAGCTGCAGCAAGGGGATTCTGTCAGAGTCCTGGTGGGGACAAGGAGCAGCCCCTTCTTACCAAAATGAACGCACACCCACAGCCCTAGGGGATTAATATTTAAATTTGAAGATGACCATTTTCTTCCTTTCACCACTGTGTATATCAGCTACCAGTGACAAAGGCCATTTTAAAATGTAAGGAAACAAAACCTGCATAAACAAACAAGAGACCAAGACTTAAAACTAACCTAAACACTAATGCAATTCACG